ATGATTATCTGTGTTACTGAAGAGAGAGGCCATGATTATCTGTGTTAGGCTGTGTAATGTTACTGAAGAGAGAGGCCATGATTATCTGTGTTACTGAAGAGAGAGACCGTGATTATCTGTGTTACTGAAGAGAGAGACCATGATTATCTGTGTTACTGAAGAGAGAGGCCATGATTATCTGTGTTACTGAAGAGAGAGGCCATGATTATCTGTGTTAGGCTGTGTAATGTTACTGAAGAGAGAGACCATGATTATCTGTGTTACTGAAGAGAGAGACCGTGATTATCTGTGTTACTGGAGAGAGAGAGACCGTGATTATCTGTGTTACTGGAGAGAGAGGCCATGATTACATGTATCTGTGTTACTGTTAGGCTGTGTAATGTTACTGAAGAGAGAGACCGTGATTAGAGACGGGGTGAGTATTTTTCGAGACTCACGTGGAGCACGTGGAGACGTCTAGACAGCCGGGGGATGAAATCTACAAGCTGACACTGAAATGTGGGGGCAGGGTGGTGTCGCTGTCTCAAAATGAGTAATTTGTGGGCACGGTCGCTGTAAGTCAGTTATTGTAGTGATCCTATCATGTTTGCATATTCTAAAGAGCGGTTTTTAATTGAAATAGGACCCAAAGAGAAACACTTTTTTATTACTGCATCGAGATTCTTTGAAAATTTTTTTTTGCAGAAATATATTTGCTGGAGTGCCATGCAAAGTTTCATGAACATACCGGTAAATATTAATAAATGTGCTAGGATTTTTTTGACATAGTTAGATGAAAGTGAACCACAGAATTGAGGAAGATCTACTCGTAGACGTTTTCTGAACTCAAGTGTGGTTTGCTTTCTATATTTGAAATGCCCTGGAAAAAAAACTCTCTTACAAGTGCAATAATTCCAAATGCAACAGTGTATGTCTAAATCTATTTATTCCTTGCATGTATGTGTACGATTGTTTGTGTGTTACTTTGTTGTTGTGAGTCTGTGTTTGGAAAAGAACAAGTATCCAAATGTTTATTTATAGACAGCGGGTATTTTCCTCACATGTCAGGGAAACAAAATCTACGCGCGTTTTCACGACTTGTTTTTGTCTTTGGACCAATCAGGGAACAGCTAGGTCATGCCAGAGGGTGTATAGATCTACTCTCTGCTGGCCATGCTTCTCTCTCTCTCTCTCTCTCTCTCTCTC